ATATTACATACGGTACGGATTATATTCCATTTTCCATATTCATTGCAATATCAATATCACATTATAAATATAGCCACAAAATGAGAATCGATGTCATTAATATTTAATACAAATCACATTGATCCAGTTCTTTGATTTCTTGAATACCATATAATTCACAGCTGCTCGATAAGCACATCAAGGATTTACATAGTACTTGTTTAATCAAACATTGCTTTCATGAACTAGTTAATTCCCTACTTTCTATGTTCCACGTTGAAACTTATGAGTGGTTTGCATACTACAAGAATAGTCTCTCGTTTGATGTTATGTCCCGATCACACTGAATATCAAACCACAATGCTAACTATTTCCAACTGGTAATTTCCCTCTACCTGAAATGCAAGTGAACTATATAGTTTGCTATGTCTACACTCATTAGTGATTAATTATACATGCTTATAAACAATAATATAGAACTACAGAATTGTAATTATCTAGGTTGATCGAATTTTACCCATTACAACTTGAAATGTCAGAATCAAAATAGTGGTCTTGCGTTGATGAAAATTTATAGATACAATGAATTACATGCAAGTTTACATTTGAACAAACGTTCCTCATTGAAATTTCAAACAACAATGTAGCAATATTTTAGATGAAAATTGCTCCAGTGCTAATATTTATATTTAGACCTTTAGAAGTCATTCTACGACTATCAGTAGTAACTGATGTTCATGAAAATATTAAAAATTCAAATACAAACAAGAGTGCGAAAACAGTAATTGGTTTTAGTCTTTAATCCTGCAGAGATTACTCTCATTCTACCACACAAAGTTTTGAAGAAGTGTCAATCTTATAGGCTTATATGGATTCTGGATTCGAAACAAGCTTTCCAGGTAAAAATGAGAAAAGATTGATTGTGGAGGTTACCATTGGTAAGATACCATGTGAGTATCCTTAGATCTGTGGTTTCAGTTAAAGGAATATTTCTTACTCCTTTATAATTTATGTTGCATCCAAATTTCAGAAATATCCTGCTTTGTGGCGATACAATATATCCCATCGTAGTATAGGACTCACGCTGTATAAAAGCTACATCATAATTATGTTCAATAATGCACTATTGGACAAAACTTTACAACGGCGGAAATATTACAGCAGCGTTTTGTTGATGAGAAATGATAGCGTTTTATGACATGAGAAATCAAACTGGAAAGTGATCTATCGAGATCTGCAGGCAACACTTAATGTGTTTCCGTCTAGTATATTAAGTTTCTGTTGACATTTCCTTTCTGTGACAAATTAAAACATTTAGACACTAAAGTGTAGTGCTATTACCTGAATAAACTGTCAAATAAAATGAAATGATGAGAAGATGTAAGGCTTTGTCTAGTGCCAAGTAATACAAAATCTGTTAGGCTATACATGATGGAGCTATATCAAGGCCATTTACTTCATCATTGTTAGTGTGAACAGTTCAAATAGCGATGTCAATGCAAATAATATTGCAGTTTCTATGTAGTTCCTATATTCAAATGAAAATATCGCTAGAGTCTTGGTATTTAGAGACTTTAGTCAGAAAACGGATTTATTTTTTTCTAACGACAATGTCGACAAGGTCTAAATAAGATAGCAATACCTTGAAGCAAATAGCTATAGCACACTACTAGTCTATTAACATGGTATACATGACAAGACAGTCAGATAAGCAAAGGAAGTATGATTAGAACGATAACAGAGAACCATGATAACTGTTAATCATGTTGTGTGATATTATTTTATTAATATGGTTCAAAGACTTACTTTTATTTCATTAGCTGAATAAAGACATTGAAATTCCAATATTATACATACTGTCTCCAGTAGGTAAAAATCATATAACAGCATACAAAGACAATAATCTTATATTCCAATGTTCTGTAAATATACTATACATTCATCTAGAAACAACCCGTTGCTTTGGCATTGTTAAAGCAAACGACGTGAGACACATTTTATGGCTGTATGACTTGATAAAACTGCATTTTATGTGGTTTTCATGACACTATAATATAGTACTAAATAAGTGAATCATGTCAAAAGTCAAGCTGTGACAAATACCAATAAATATTACAAACCAACAGAATAATACACTAGACCATATTATTATATTATTATATTTCAAATAGTCCCAACTCTTTGAGTGGATCATTCGATAGATGTTTTCAAATGGCAACGTGATAAGAATACGAGACGAAACCTATTACAGTATCAATGGTGCATTTCCACTTACATAACTACATACAAAACTACATGTTATTATTAATAATTCGATGGGCAAAACTGCCTGTATTGTTTAGCATTCATGCAAATCCAAACCTCAAAGTACGATTACATACCCCCTAAATATTATCTTTTCGGGCAGGACCGACTGGTGTCTTCGGTGCTCGAAGTCTTGCTTTGCTCGACATCATAATCCTTCAAAATTTTCGGGCAAACCCGCCTGCCCTCCAACAGGCCTTCGTCCCGTTTGCCTATGATTACATCTTTACAAGAAGGTTTTTTTTCTTGAGTATTACAATTTTTATTAGATTGTGTGTTTTGTCCTTTTATTTTCGATTTGAATGTTTAACGCATGATCAATGTACAGTTTAGACTCAATTCCTTACGAAATCATTTATAGGATACATCAAAGCCATTGGTTTTTTATTAAATTCAACATCAAAATCACTTGAAAGAAAGTGAATTATTACAAAGCTGACTTCGATATTAAAATAATACGTCAGTCTAGTCAGAAAACAGTCTGACTTTTATTAGATTAATATGCTTATATCAATAAGATAGTTACAGACATTACAGACAATAAATAGACATTTGACATCCAGAAATCATTCATTTTGGCTGGCATCTACGATTGTTATAAGCCTTATAAGAATAAAATGAGTATCATAAATACAAATAGTTTAATTAATATTTGTATGGAATAAATTGTCAGTTAAGTCCTGTTTAGACAGGCAACGTTTTTTAACCCCCACCTTCTTTTAACTCTCAACCCCTTGCAACTTGTCTGTGATTTGAAATATTGTCAGTTGAGAGGGGAATCAAGAGACAGAGATGTTTATCCAGATTTTCGACAAGCTTCTTTTCAGCTTCAACTGATTATTTAGCTTAAGCATAACCTCGACCTTAATCATCAACTACATCAATTTCCTCCATACCATACGTGCCCACTTGCTTGTCATAAAGCATTTTGACTCATTCACATAGCCTAAAGTCAGTTGGTGAGTTGCCCCCATTAAAATTTAGCATCTTGAGGGTTTATGATAGCTGGTTAAAACAGATTGCGGAACATGATGTGGCTGACAATGCTGATGGTTTGGAATTACCAATATTCCGCAAATTTTGTCAGTAAAGAGTCCTCTGCCTTTAGGAATTTCCTACGACAGTTTCTTTCTTATGCTTAAAAACTGATTATTTAGCTATCAGCATAAAGGTTGAATTAATTCCAATGGTTAACACATTCTCAGACAATTGGTAGAGTTTAACATTTAAACTTTAATTAAAAACCTACTGTGGGGGAAAAAGTAATGAATTGTTGGCTCAAAGGGTACCTTTTCCATTTCTGAATTTTTAACATTCTTTCCTGGCTAATTATACATGTTAGTCGATCTCAATAATAGTTATTAGCTTTTTCTCAATTAGTATGGAGATTGCAAGGGAGGATGAATTGTAACTTATTGTGCAGATCCAGATAACATCAAACGTTGGTATGGAAGTACAACATTGGCAACTGCGGTCTGGTTCGTCGTCGGTGTATTCAACTTGACTAAATACAACGCTTGATCAGATTATGCAAAGGATAGTTTCTTCCTTTCATGGCTCGGGTCGATCACTAGATTCTGTGTAGATTCTAGTAACATTTAACTTTTGAAAGAAAGTACTAAATGGGCAACTGTGATTATTCAACGTGCCACCCCAAGTTTGAAAGTGAGGCTCTTGCATCATGATCATGATCAATACTTAAGCCAGAAAATTAGATCTACGGCTATATATTGGTTCCCGTTTTACCTATTCCGCACTATTTGTGGTAAGGAGCATGGTTATTATAGGGTTATTAGTCCAGAGGCCTTTTGTTTGTTCCAGTTTGCCAATAAATGGGAATAAATAAAGCGATAAATAGCTTCCCAATTTCAGTGAAACCGTCTCTTGCCTTGTCAAATATTGATTTTGTCACTGTTTAAAAACAGACAGATTGAATTTTGTTTTTCAGAAGTTCATCAAAATTTTAATCAAAGAAGACTGTCGTTTGTCTCTTTGGTTTTTTCCTTATTTTAACTGTAATGAATCCATAAAAATGCCGTAGGAAATAATGATTGCTGAAGGAAATTAAGAGAACTGCTAAAGGTTTTAAAGCCTTCTTGTACAATTCAATTTTAACTTCTTATTTTATAGTATCTTATTGTGGTTGAGATGACATTAACTCGGTTGATGAATATATATGATCTGATGCATCATCAACGAGCACCATTGTATTTTCATTTAGAAGTATATCTTATAATTAACTACACCTTCTTCTGGTAATATAGATTTCTGAAGCATATGTGAGTTGCTTCTTGTGCCATCACTAGAATAATGACCCCAATTACTCATGCTGTATGATAGATTGATTAGAAAACTTAATTTTGATTATCAGTAACTGATATTGGTAAACAGATGTGTCAGTATTTATTGGATATTGCACACTCAGTGGCCCCACCCCACTATCTTCAATAGTCTTTAATTATTTCTTATTTATTAAATAGTCAATGGATTGTCATGTCTGAAAAAGAAACCATTTAAATGCGGTGGTTTCAACTTGTTTCAACCAGGAAAGGTCTCAGGTAGTGGGGAGTATTGAAAGCTGCAATTAATTCTCCGAGTACCTAGAGACGATGTGTAGTGTAGTCATATGCTGAATATTATAACTGGATATATTTTTTCATGGCCTGTAAACATCAAAATTAATGTCCCCACTAGGCGCATGTACCTGCGGTTGAAAAATGGAACATTACTCAAGAATGTTTGACAGTATGTGAAAGTTCATGATCTGCTAACTGAATCTAGGTAACCTTCACTGTCCTCACAGTTGTCATATAGAATATTTATGATAGGTATATTCATTTTGGAACTTTTGAATTTGTTAATAGTCTGTAACATGCCAATAACGTCTGTTGAAATTCTACAATTTTACACTAATTATTAGAAATTCTTTACATTTGGTATCAGTCTGTGGGTTGGTTCTATCTTTTCAGAAACAACGATCGTTATGGGGTCGTTAGTCTTTGGTTGCACCGCTGGTTGTGATAAAAGGAATTGTTATTGATTTCTAAATAATTTCTAATTACCGCCGTCAACAAAAGATTAATTATCGGAACTTTCATCTACATTGTTACAGCATAATATTGCATACATAAATAGCAACGCAAAACACTACCATGCTCTGTGATACACGTCGGAATCGTGTGAAGGTTCGTATGAAATCAAAAGTAGCAATTGTCAAAAAAACCTTAAAATTTACAAATAAAATTGTGGAGAAGTTATTCGACTTTCATTGAATATCTTCAAAATTACATTTAAAATGAATTAAAATTGATTTTTATTTACGGCACTCTGTTTCTGTAGAAATTTACCATGATTTTCAAGATTAATTTAAGATCAGAATTCATTGTCCATAATTCAAGAGTACTTTCTGCATTGGTTAACTTCCATTAGTCATGCAACCTTGTAAAACTTCAATAGCTTTGTCAGCACTATAGACCAAGTTTTCGATGAAACAAATCAACTAATAAATCAATACATAAATCAATATCTTTTCAATCATATATCGATCTTTTCTAGAATCTATTGGTACTGGTAATCAAAATGAATTCAATGTATCTATATGTGAGACGGGAACGGAAAGAAAAAGTTATTTAAGAGTTAAATTAGCGAAGTAATGAATTGAGGTGAAGCTATTTCTATATAATCAAATTTCTATCATATTTCATCAAACATCAAGCCATTTTGAGTGTAACTTCCATTAATCCTATTGTGCCTAAAAGGTTAGTTCGTTCGGAGACGTTCAAATATGAAAATAAGAATAATACACTTTGATGATATAATCAAGGAAATCAAAGTCGATTTATCTACAAGCTTGTTACTGGTTAAGATGCTTCAAAGGCTTGGGCCGAGAAAACACTTTTGGTTGTTCACAGTCGCACAGTAAGACTGTACAGTGGGTGTAAAACACCCTTATTTTTTTCATATCAGAAACAAGTGGCTTATTAAAGAAGATGAAAAGTTTTAGTGCAGGTCATGCCGAATGTCAGGTTTCCAATAAAGGTATTCGACTTTTGTATATTTCGTTGAGTATGCTAAAAGCTGCGCAGTAGTTGAACGTGCTCAACGAAACGTGTACCATTCGAATGCTCTACTGTAGTCCAGCCCTGGACTCTGAATTATCAATACTGTTAAGCAGTTCTCGGGGCATCAAGGCAGTCGCTAAAGTTGTGTAGAAATGGATAGCGAAAGCAGCGATGAAGAAGAAAATTCAGTCCAGTATTACCTTCCTCTGGCATTGGATCAGCGGTAGTTTTTTAATCATGAAAATATATTTCAAAAAGAAGTTTTCTCAGCTAGCTATCAGTGATCAGCGCTGTCTTCCGACAACAACATCAGATAGTAGTAGAGAGGCCTACCAATAGGCTACTGCCAGTTCACTGGTAATCCTAGGCCAAGGACTCTCATTTAACAAGTTACATGTATTTACTTTTCAGTCTCAGGAAGCGTCATAGACAGAAAAAATATGTGGAACAAATAGCCCAACAGTTCAGAATAGATGAGTTTAAAACATTCTTTCGAGTAGACCGAAAAACTGTGGCGTGTCTGCAGGATTCCATCGTTATGATATGCACAGAAAGAAACCGAAATAATAAGCCGGCAATCATCAGGTGGTACACCGAAAAAAGTATCCATGAAAGGATTTTGATCCTTCTGTGGTATATGGCACGTGGTGACAAATATGCCTCTATTGCTGATAGAGCGAGAGCACTGGTTGTATCATTTATTCACCAGTTCTTATTGGATAAAGTAGTCGTTTGGCCCACAGAGCAGATGACAGAGATGCAAGGCATGTACATGGAACTAAAGAGCTTCCCATGCGTGGTAGGAATGATCGATGGTTGTCACATTCAGATACAAAAACCACATGTTCGAGAAATTGATTACTACAACAAGAAAGATTATTATTCTGTAGTACTCCAAGCCGTTGTTCGAGAAGATTTGCGATTTACAGATATTTATACAGGTTGGCCTGTGAAGGTTCACGATGCGAGAATCATTCGTTATTCACCACTTAAGGAGACAGGACATGTGTGGAGCTGGTCACATTTTGGGCGACACGATATACCCTAACCTACCTTATTTGTTAACCCCATTTAGAGATAATGGCCAGCTAACACATGATCACAAGAGATACAACCAGGTTCATTCTAGCATCAGGGTTACAGTTGAGAGACTCTCACTTTAAGTTAAATAGAAGTTAAAAATGTCTTTCCGAATGACATCACGTCAATAAATATCGTGGACAATTCACGTTCCACACGTAGGCATTGTAGATTGATCTTGATTTTTGATTAATGATTATGGCTGACGTATCGCTTTTATGAGATAAGAGAAATCAATTCTCTATTTCGAGTATCTAAACTATTTCTCCAGACAGACCGGAAGTGTCCCCCAATCGCAAATTTACATTCACAAGTATCTGTTGATTGTTCGAGAATAATGAGATACGATTTACCAGACATCACTTTTCCTGTCTCTGTCAATTAGTCTTATTTAACTAATGACAGTATGATTATGAAATCTGAATTACATCATTTAGTTCTTTTACTAAATCTAGACTTTTACAATCTGATTTCGATTTTCCATTCATCATTTGACCAATTTGTGTCTTAACCCCTGACAAAACACGAAACAAACCATTGTTTAAGTTTAACCGTGTACGTCTGTAGAACAAATACATGTCAATCTAAGATACTCATTAAACCTGTAACAATCGTTTAAGGTCGAATCAAATACTAATGAAATTAAATACGGATTATAAAGGAATCTAGATCATCACGTATAGGTATTCAGTCACAACGCAAGCAGGTTTTTTTCAGTAGATACCAATGGAAAATTCAATATGATTCATTGTTACTAGTAAAAGATAAACGGAGACCTTATGCTGAGCCTCTTGACTGATTCTGATTCTCTCAACTGATAATTATTAACTAGTAATAAAATTCAATCCATTGTTACTTATAAGTAAACGGTGTCACCGAGAAAGTTCACGGGATGGTACTGAGATAGTGATATTGGTAAGAGATAATTTGGTACCTCCTTAAAAGCATATCGTTGCTTTCTCTTCGCGAAAAGAATCGCAATGTATTTTTAACTGCAAGCATGTCTATTAAATTCAACTTTTATCTCTGGTTAGAGACCAAAGAAATTTGCTCGATTGACATTTGCGTATTTTAGCGGGATGCTTCTGCTGAATGAATGCCATTCGATTACAAGTAAAAATACAAATCAATGTTCTAATTTCAAGGCTAAAGGTTAATGCGAAATTAATACACTCGATATGAATCAGTTACTCATACATCCATCAAGTAATGAACTAAATCAAGCAGTCATACAAATAATAGATAATCAATTAAGAAAACTAATAAGTAACGATGTTTCTTGTCAATTACAGAAAACTTATAATGATCTTGATTAAAAAAAGGTTAATAACAATTCAGACATCAATTCACTTCGTTTCGCACATTGATTTTCATTTAATTGCAAAATTGTTTGATTTCCTATTTTTAGACCTGTTTTTTTTTTCAAGGTTATTATTACGACCACTACTGTTTAAAGTACACATTTCTATCCAGATGACGTGCAAGAGTTTTAAAGAAAAGTTTTGAAGAATACCGCAGCTGACTGTAATTCATTGATGTCATTGACATCTGAATTCGTCACTTAAAAAGTACCTAAGTATCAAAAAACAACTTAAGGATGATTCAAAACGTCTCCTTGTCGCCTACATTATTTTGTGATCCTTTCGCAAAATATGGTCACGTGGAACTTCCAAATTATGTCATTCTCTTTCCAAGCTTTCTCCTAGGTATATTTATCTTAAGGTATATCAAGAATTGCATCTTCTTCGACCTTACCTTTGTCTGAAACCTCCGGCCTATTCAATATCTCTTAATACAACTAACATATTTTTTATACATTATCAACTCCATAAAAATGTTTGTAACTTTCGATACACTAGGGCTTATTCAATATAAACCACAATCTTAACTCAGTGTATTCTGTTTATCGGTATACACGAAACAAGAACTAACATTATACAACACTCTTCGATGACAATTTCAATATATTATGATCAAAGGTAACTTATTTTCTGATCATTTTACTTAACATTTCCAGATGGTTTTGCTGACGCCGTAGACTCAAATTGGAAATATTTGATTAACAAATAGATGAAAACATAATTAGTCCTGGGACAGTTTTACTTAATAACTTAAAAAGTGATCTCAAATATACCGTACATGTCTAATCATTGCATGAGTTGCTGCTTGGCCCCATGTAGTGAAAGGGTTAACTTTACAAGTAGTAATATCAAGTAATATACTGGTGATTTACGAGTGAAGGGTAAGAGATAAGAGACTAGAGTAAAAGGAATGTATTCATACTACTATGATATAGTTTCAAACAGCTATTGTATACAGATATAGATTAAAGTGATAAATAGTTGGATTAAAATACAGATAATTATTATACTTTACAGGTCATAAGGCTATCACTGATCGTATAAATATTGATATTTGTATCTAATTGAAGGAAAAGGAAATAAATCCTAGTTTCAGAAGACCAAATAAACGTTACAACAAAAACGAGTAGAAACGTTTTCGTTTGGGATAGTTTTCAGGTTTCCTTTTTGTTTGATTAATAAAAAAATAGATTATTTTTATTGTTGGACAGATAGCAGTTTATGTCTTTTAACGTTTTTCTTTTTAGTTATTTAGGTTAAATGAAAGTAATGCCGTCTGACTGCACCAGGTGTTCCAGGGATGCGACTGTATGTCCTGTCTCAACAGCAACACTCGTTAAAGTAATTATAGCGGTTTTGCTCCATTTCGCAAAAGCTAGGGCACTCGAGATTTTTTACCATACATATCTGATAGTACACGGACCTCACTTTACTGCCATTTTCTGAGACTTGCATCACAGAATCCGAAATTTGAAGGTACTGTCACCAACCATGCCGAAATGGACTCATTAACACTAGATAGCCACTGTTCAATCAAGAAAGCATAGAATACACTAGCAGCGTGAAACATGAACTGTTACAATCAATCAAATATATTTCATTTATTTGCCGTTAAACGTTCTTGTACGATATCCCATCCGTCTGAATACTATTTGCTTTACTAACATTTTTATAGTATCATTTCTACTTCCAAATGAATTAAATTTTGATGAAGTTCTAAAAACTAGAAATCAATCTGTTTTGAGATAACGACACGATTACTGTCAGATAGTTGTTACCAAGTATGATGAAGAAGAAGGTAAAACTAGATTAAACTGAGTTCTGAATACCAAATTAATGTTTGGTTGGCCACAAAGGAGTCACAAAGGTCTGTGAATAAAAAGCTTTACTGAATCAGGTGTGTCATAACGTTAACTTAGAACCGTTTTCAAAATGTTTTGTAGAAGAAATGGTTTATTGTGATGTTGTTATGAGTTAAAGCCATAATTCGCCATTTTCGGGGGTTGATTTGGGTCCTGAATACAATATGTAAATAGTCTCCCGAACTCTAGAACTGTACGTAAATCTCCTAATCCCTTCAAATAATACTCAGACTAGAAATTTCACTTTCTTTTTCTATATATATATGTCTTTTCGATATATGGCGTAGTATATAAGTAGTAAAATATAAGACGAGTCGTCATTTCAATTTCAAACGCGAATAATTATGTACGCACGTGGTTCTGAGTCCAAAGAATGATTGGTGAAAAAGTCTTAAAATGAATTGTGAAAGCGTGGAATAACACCATTTGAAAGGAAAGGTGGGCTAGTTTGTTTTGATGGGGGGGTGGGAGGTTGAGGCAGAAAGTTATTCATATGTTAACTGGGCATTTAGCAGGAGGAAGTCCACACTATTCAAAAGTGAACTGGGAATATCATATGACTACAGAAAGGTTGTCTGGATTACAAATGATTTAGGCAAGTCATATGGCAGTTGAAAGTCCGCCAGATTCACGAATGAACTAGTCATATGATAGCAGAAGTTCATCCGATTCACAAGTGAACTTAGCAAATCTTATAACAGCAAAAAGTTCATACGATCAAAAGTGAACTTGGCAAGCCATATGACAGGTCTTAGCAAGGATTTGAAAATGCAACACCTTCATAAATATACGTATCCACCAACATGCCTTTTACTTTACACTAAACCAATGATTTACACGAGTCTCGATGATTTACAGACTTTTTTTTTTATCTCGTTTTTGATTCAAATTTTAAAAGTCTATCACGCCCTCTATAAATAACATGTACAATACCACACCTTCTGATTGTAGATTCTGTGTAATTACTTGTAAAAGTATTACCCGTCTGGCTATACCTTTTAAGTACGAATTTAAATTTTAATTGACACTAGGTCCTATTTCAAGCTCATCTCTCGAATGATATAACAAGCAAAAACTTTGTTCTCGAATCTCAAGACAATTGGTAAGAGTAGAAAAACTATTTCAATCACTTCAAGTACATTGCAATGTGTCAAACTAGACACATTTCAACAATTAGTAAGATAGATTTATTGTGAAGGAGTCTTAGATCCTTGAAACCATACTCTTTCGCCAAAGAAGCTGAAAATGATTATCGCCATTTTAAATGAAGATAGTTTTGCTGATCTAAAGAGCTGTTAACAATATTGTCCTGATAAAACCTCCGAGAATCGACATCCACCTAGGCAACATCATTTAAAAAAATTAACATACTGTGTATATTGTCCACACGAAGCTATCAAAGACCTATCGTGATCCTCGTAAACAGGGATAGGTTTCGAAATGGGTTAAAATCGGATTTGAGGCGCAAAAGCAAAGGCAGCAAACTCACCAAATAGGAGCAAAAAGTCGAGAGAGAGGTTATGAAGACTCGGTTAAATATGAACTACTAAAATTGTTAGTTTTACAGCAATTATCTGTAAATTACATAATCTTCACACTGAAACGACAGCTGTATACCAACTATTACTAATAATTATCGAAATGGTATTAAATTAACGCTATGCTAAACATGGTGGTTAAATCCAGAAGGCAACTTCAGAACAGATTCTTGAAACAGTATCCTGTCAGTCATTATAATATCTCAACAGTTCAAAATCGAAAAATAGTAACCAGGTAGACTCTTGACATTAGTTCTCAACACAAAACGATAGTACTTTTCATTTCAGGATTTTCAAAGACCAACATAAATATTTTGACCTTATTATCAAAGAATTTGAAAAAGCAGAATTTTTAAAATCATATGTCGATTATATACATATTCATAGCCTAATAATACAAACAGCATTTATTCAAATTGACGAATAAACATTTTGTAATATGTACAGGTGATCAACGTTACAGCACTCAACTTGTCTAATTGTTATTTCACACCATTCAGATTCCACCAAGTTTATTTAACCACCTAAATTTACTTTTCAAACAAAGGTGGCGACTTATTCACACATTTTAAGTCCAAACTAAAGTGCACTTTGCATACATTGAGATTTCAAGTCGATTCAAGAACATTTTAATTCCTTGTCTATTATAGACGTTAAATCCAGAATTAAAAAGGATCAGGTTGTTGGCATAAGTACAATGGTAACTTTTCATGATTTTGCCACAACAGCGATATTATGGTCATATACACGCAAGTCCACATATCTGAGTAACATTTCAGCAACAATATTTTCATACCTTGATACGCCTCAGACTAAATTTGAGAAGTCCGTAAGATGTGCGTAACAGTTTTTAAACATTTTCTAGTAGTGAATTTTAATTTTACGGATTTAAAACACAAAATTTAAAATAGGTATAATATAAAGCCCAAGCTTACCTTGCTGTGATTACATAGTACAGATCCTCAATGTAAAACAACTAATGGGACAAAATCTTTACAAACGTATACAAGCTTTCTTTAATGTCCATTTAAAGTTTATTTCGTTCAGCTAAAGTCTATGTAATCTTTACATAAGAAAGAGATAAGTAAATAACCTCATGTGACACTTTGAAAGGGTTTGTTGGGTAGACTGGTCGACCAGAAGTTTATATAGTAGTCATTTTATCATGTAGGAGGGATGGATTGAATGCTTATAGAATATTATTGACTTAACTTTTCTTTAAAACACTCTTAACATTCCCCAACCTCTCTGTAATAATTGGTGGCAAGATTAACATGGTAGATCTACTCTTCTTTTCTTTTTTTCTAAACACATTTTATCTTACATGGTGTCAGTTTCTCCTGTCAATAAAAATCAAATATTTATTATCTTCAGAAAATATCCAGTGTCATTGTATTTTTCTATTGTGTAATACACAAAACAATTTTTCCACTAGCCACTCTTATTTTATCGCTGTAGAGTTTTTCCTGTCAAATTTCAAACACATTATTTGAGATCATATGAAGTTATTGTCAGTAAATAACTTGTGTTGAATTGACACTATTGCACCTTTAAAATAAATTGTTCAACATAATATTGCTCTTTGAAAATGTGATAGATTCAACAGTATACGTTAATGTTTTCTGTGACAGTAGCTGTATGACCTTTTAAGTTTTAAGCTGTGTAGCCAGGTAAGATCTACAAGTTAATAAAAAGATAGACGTAATCAGCATAAACAAGATAGTCATTTTGGGATTGCAAGCTGTGCTTTCATAGATTTAAATGATTGATGTCTTATCGCAATGTTCAGTGTTTAGTATGATTAAATTGTCTTAATCTATGAGTTCTATGTAAGTATTAAATGCTTTCTGAACTATGAGTTGATATTATTTCTTAATGAATACTATGTCAAATATAAATCATTATACTGCATGTTGTAATGTCACAAGGTTAGATTATATAATTTATGACTTGAATATATTTCTCTATAAATATTATGTTAGATTTAAATGCCTTTTCTATGTTATAGATAAGTTCTCTAGGACTCGATTTCTTAATAGTCAATCTGCAGGTTGTCATCCAACAGGTTGCTGTGTATTACAAATCAAAGAGTAAAAGTTGTAAGGAATGCTTCAATAAATCAGGATAGTGAAACAATAAATGTTCTCAAAGATAATTACACAGTATTTTGAAATAAGCTATTGCCTAATTATAATTATAATTGTAAAAGTACATTGTCCGAAACCTTGAATATATATTATTAGTATATAAACCCAAAAGATAAATTGATAGATTGAATGTTTACTGTTTACTATTTTACCCAAGGTATTTTGTATATGTCGACTGACCATCATGTTTTCTCTGGTATACAGACATGTTTATATATTTTGAGGTTGAACACTCCTTTTATTATATCAAAATGAAATGCCTGGGCAAATTGGTTTTCAATAAAAATTCTCTACATCAATCCGAAGGTATTTTTCGATCGAGCCATTAACCTCCAGGTTAGCCAGCTAGTTACTAAATTAAAGACTGATGTACAAGCTTTGAGTAATAAGATAATCTAACTGTTAAAATTACACTGTACTATGAGGATAGTATATTGAATATTAACTGATATTTAATGGTAAATAATTAATATATATCAAAGAACTGAGTAAGTTTTATTAGGAGATAAGTAGTTTAAAGATTTACAATGTCAAGTATGTAACACACCTCTCTTTAACTATTCATCCACTCTATCGCTTCTATATTTTTTCATCAAAATAACGCAATAAAGATAAGTAGTCTTTTTGGCTTTTGATAATTTGATCATATTTCACATTAAGTAGAATTTCTAGGTCAGGTTAATGACTATTCTGAGTTTTAGTCAATATTTGTGCCATCTGTACTCGCGGGGAGCTAAGACTATAAGACGGATGGTCATCATAAACTTGATATAAGTATGAAGTCTATTAAAACGAAGACGCGTTTGGTGCTGTAAGATAAAATTATTTATTTAGTTTAGTCCTTTAGTATAAACTCTTAACTGTTACTCAGTAACTGACATGTCTTTGCGACCAATGTTTGGGCGTATGGAAACATAGTGCATCAATCACTTATCAAGACCAAAAACACCCCAACTCATACCGACGCTCACTTAACCTGTTTAATGAGATGTACGTTCTCGGGAGAACGTTTGGGGACATCCTAATAATTTTATATGATTATGAAATGAAACCCAGTCATCGGTTAATAGTCTGTTCAGATGATGACCTGAAACAGAAGAGTCTTTCGCGATCTTGTATTGAAAAAATTTCATATCTAGTTTTTCATTGATCGAGAACACTATATACGGTGATCGCCACCCTGTATTTTTTAATTTTGTGATATGTATACAACATCAACAATCGAATTTGTCCTTGAGGCATAATCGATGCATTATGAACACCATACCATAGGGTACTAACGCTTAATACGCGCTAGTCAATTTTCGACTAAAGGGATTAAAAATTTCCCGCCGTAAACAGTAAAACGAATTTTAAATTTCAAATTGAAAAGAGGTAAGCCTTGTTCAGTGTATTTAAATTGCGATATAAAGTAAGTATCGATTGTATACTAACCCGATCATAAGATGTAACAGTTAATAGACTGGTAAATATCGCTGAATCAACTATATAATGATTGATAGTAGAACCCCTTCAGGACATAGACATTCTAATCGTTCTCATTAGACATTCTAAACCGATTAAATCTTTCAAAACAATTCATTTTACAGAGTAAAATACAGGAAAAACTGTTCTCACTCATGTGGAAATACACGATAAAACACAGTTGATTGCATTCAATTGAAACGGTTTTTTTCTTCCATAGAAGAATAAGTGGTGGAGTCCAATGTAACGAAAGCTTACGTTTTTCTACTTCTGATTGCAAAAAACTTAATACAGACAGCCATATATGGTTCACAGAAATTTGCTCGGACAGGACATTGTATATTTTCGTGTTTAACACAGACGGTCGCACGTATATCCTCGGTGTATCAGACGCCTTTTCCAACCAAAATCCTCCTCGGGTAAAAACTTGAAAATCCGAAGATAGATACACTAACTATTCTGAGATATAGCCCGGGACCTTTATGCCTAGTTCACACCAACGGCGGATGCCGCGCTTTAAATCGGCGAGCAAAGCGCCATCATTTTTTGTTTACTTTTCAAAAAATATCACGATCTCCTAAGTAATGTTATGCTCTGATAAGCTCTGATACGAATTGGTTACGCTTTGGAGACGAATTATTTCCCGATTTGATGAGGCCTTGTTACGCTTTAAATCACGCTTAGATAAGCTTTATTAAGCTTTGATGCGGTTATGACGCTTTAAATCACGCTCTGATACGATTATTAAGCTCTGTTATGCATTGTTAAGCTCTGTTACGCATTGGAAAATTTCGAAATGGCCGATTTCATGCCGCTTTTGATCATGTGGTGACAGACCGTGAAAACTGGGGTCCCCGCTTTGAATAAAGTTCTGTTAAGCTTTCCTACGCTTTGAGTCAAGCTTTGCTGAACTTTGTTACGCTTTGTTAAGCTTTGATACGTTCTCAGCGCTTTAATCAATTCGTGACAGAGCGCCCAAAATTTTTAAACAGTTTAAAATTTTTTGGCGCTCTTGCCGAATATCCAGCTTTGCTCAAAGCTTTCCAACGATCTATTACGACTCTGGCGCTTAAGTCGAGCTTTGTTACGCTTTGGTACCGCTTTGTACGCAATCAAAGCGCCGTTGGTGTGAACTGAGCATAAAGGAAGTTTTGCTGGCTGATCACCAAGGCTTTCAAGCAAATAACCTTTAAATTGTATATTTGCACTAAGAATCAAAATTGCTGTGGATGTCTTACATTTGTCTCAAAGCATAATCCACACATATGCATGACTAATTCGATATGGTGTGAGTCCCAAACAGTCTAATATAATCAATGAAAAATCGAATAGAATACAAAACGTGCAATTCACTACAATACCACAGCATAATTCCTGGCTCTACAGCCATTCTCACCACGAAACAATGTTAAATATGAAACTGCTGGCACGGACATTTATAATAGAAGATAAGATTTATCAGAGCTAAGATTTACTCTCCAACATGATAAGAGTGTTTCACTGTCTATTAAACGATATAATGCACCAGTCTAAGACGGGATTATAGTCAAACCTCTTAGGACTTTCAATTGAGTTGAAGTATAGACATTGTCCAGTATTACCATATTAACTACTTCACAGACTAAACATTGGTCAAATTAATTAAGTGGTAATTGAAGAACGGATAGAAGCTGTGAAACACACTTCATTGAGATATCTACCTTTTAATAAGGTTACAGGGAGATTTATTATACTCGTTATATGGTTATTATTATTCATTGCACTCAATTTAGTGACATTTGATTCAGTGAATAACTGTTCTGATCTTTGATTATTATACTATTTTTTCAGTTAGGTATAAAATCAATCAATTGCGTCGATTCAAACAGCCAAAAACACGACCAGGCTTTTTTTCATCGAGAACATGAGTATATTGATTGAGTAATATTTATCACATCGTTTATGCGATGCAACAAGTAAAAATGATGAAGCGCCTCAGGAGTAGTTCAAGCAAGGCAGACTATATTCTTCCAATGTCATAATTTCCCTTTCACACAATAAAATTAAATATTTGAAGCATTTTAAAGATGTTTATCATCGTTGCATTGGAAAGAAAGCAGTGACTCGGCAGCTTGTTTTCAAACTTACTTTTTCTTAATTACAAAATACATTTACTAACTCTATTTCTTTAGAATTTTTTTAAAGATGAGTGAATACATAAAGAATTGAAATTTGTTTCGAAAGAGGAAAGTCCAAGAAAAATACATCAACCTATTGTGATATTATTAGTCTAACAATATCCCACAAATACCGCCTCGGGGTTAACATTGAAACCATTTCATTGTTATTTTATGATGGTAATTTCTATTATCCTGCTGAGCACAAGCCATGTAAGTTCTTTCTATACAACTATTAAACTAAAAGGTTTCCAATCTACCTGCAGGCGGTTAGTAGTTCTTTGTAGGCGAATTCTTAGATTTCTAATCAAAAGCAAGATTATCAATAGAAACTCAATAAAAATAGTTACAGATTTATTATGCTTCTTATAAGATGAATGGTCATACACCCACCAATTTATACAGAAACAATGTATAGCGTTAATTGTGAACAATGACAATTATCCTCAATATCTGAACATGTCAGTGCTTATCGACAAGTTTGGATATAATCACACAACCCGAGACACCCACACTCTGCAATTGAATTAGTCAGTAGTTCACCACTGTACAATGGTGATTAGTCAGCAGCTCACATTGTAAGAGCTGTATAAGTAATTCGCTCAACTCTCTACAATTGAACTAGTCAGTAGCTCACCACTCTACAACTAGATTAGTGAGTAGGTCACCATACAACTGAATTAGTCTGTAGATCACCACTGTACAACTGAATTAGTCTGTAGATCACCACTGTACAACTGAATTAGGCTGTAGCTCACCATCTACAAATAGATTAGTGAGTAGGTCACCACAGTACTGATATAGTCTGTAGATCACCACTGTACAACTGAATTAGTCTGTAGATCACCACTGTACAACTGAATTAGTCTGTAGATCACCACTGTACAACTGAATTAGTCTGTAGATCACCACTGTACAACTGAATTAGGCTGTAGCTCACCATCTACAAATAGATTAGTGAGTAGGTCACCACAGTACTGATATAGTCTGTAGCTCACCATACAATTGAATTAGTCTGTAGGTCACCACAGTACTGATATAGTCTGTAGATCACCACTGTACAACTGAATTAGTCTGTAGATCACCACTGTACAACTGAATTAGTCTGTAGTTCACCACTGTACAACTGAATTAGGCTGTAGCTCACCATCTACAAATAGATTAGTGAGTAGGTCACCACAGTACTGATATAGTCTGTAGCTCACCATACAACTGAATTAGTCTGTAGATCACCACTGTACAACTGAATTAGTCTGTAGCTCACCATACAATTGAATTAGTCTGTAGTTCACCACTGCACAACTGAATTAGTCTGTAGCCCACAACTCTACAACTGAACTAGTCAGTAGCTCATCATTCTA